GCTAGAGTCTCTGGGAATATTCAGGGCTAGTGATGTCCCGAACGGTTCGCGAACGGTTCGCCGCGGACTCATCATTGAGTAAACTTTGACCCTGTACCTCACAGTCAGCAGACACATTCCAGCCAATCAGCAGCAGACCCTCCCTCCCAGACCCTCCCACCTCCTGGACAGCATCCATTTTACATTCATTGTGAAGCTGCATTCTTAGTGAGCTGTCCAGGAGGTGGGAGGGTCTGGGAGGGAGGGTCTGCTGCTGATTGGCTGGAATGTGTCTGCTGACTGTGAGGTACAGGGTCAAAGTTTACTCAATGATGAGTCCGTGGCGAACCGTTCGTGGCGAACTGTTCGGGACATCACTATTCAGGGCCTTTGCAATCTTTTTGTATCCTGATCCTGTTCTCTTCTTTTAACTTTGTGGACCATTCTTTTGACTTAGCCATATTTCTAACATGTAGTCAAACGTGACACTCAACAAACCCCTAACCAGTTCTGGTATTGCAATTGTTCCAATTCAAGGTGAATGAAGCCCTTGGTTAGTTGCATCAGGCGTGCTTGAGACAATACTTGTTTTATATATTTGTGCTGTTGTGAGGGATTCTATTCAGGGGTTTTCAGTTGAAGTTGGGAAAGACACTTGGGCAAAGCATGTGTTGAGTTGTGAGCTATTTCAATTGCTTTTGTTTGAGTTGTTCATTGCAAACAGCTGAAAGTCTGTACATTTTGACAGTAAACCTGATTTACAATGAGGCTTGAATAATTTTGATTGCAACTGTACATACTTGTGTTATTGATGTGAATACAGTGTTTTAATGTAAAGTGTATAAATGACTCAGACTTGAATCCCAAAGCATATTGAAGGTCATGTGAGTTTACACCAGTGCTGTGATAGAAATATCTTTACATCTGTGCCAATGTCCCATTATGGTTTGCTTGAGTTAGCACTGGATGGATGGATAGATGGATGGATGAGGAGATGTATGTATGCATAGATAGACAGACAGATGGTTCTAGGTATAGAAATTCTATGTTTCAGTGTTGACACTTTGGGGTCACATGCTTATTGTTATTAAAATTATTATTATTGTTAATAATAATAATAAAAAACGGCAGAATTCCCTGTAATATGTTCCCACATAGTAATCTGAATGTGACTATGACTAAGTGCACAACACATGATTGTGTGTAAGATATAGCAGGTCCTCTGAGCAGTTGTCCACTGAGAAGTATTCTAACAAGTTTACCTTTACTTGTTCTGTTACAAAGAGCATCTGTGCAATTAACAAATCAGATTGGGCTGCTTGGTATGCCAGGTTGGTACTCACAAATTATAATGTTAACACGGGTAACATTTAAATCTTCACTTTAATGTCAAGTTGTAAAATAATGAAGCAGCATTTCAACACAAAGCCATCCTTGCAGATATATATGCAGATATAAATCTGGAATGTATAACTGTCATGCAGTGCTTGACAGGAAGTAAAAACCAACCCAGGAAATATGCATGATCACAGTGTACTATATGGGCTATAAAGTCTGATTGCTATAAAGGCTGATATGCCATGAAGCTGGACATTGGTGGGTGGGGTAAAAGATGGTAAAAGATGGTGGGTCTGCCCAGAGAATTGTGAAAATGTCAGTACTCTGATAATGCGCGAGCACTATACTTTTTGGGGACAGTTATCTGGTGTCCCTAAAAGCAGTACACCAGAAAACAAAGTTGGGATGGAAGGATAGGACATTGAAATTGGACACGGAAGTCTCGCCGAAATTGGAAATGTTGGCAGGCAAGCTCACTTATTATACTATATTATATTCCAAAAATATTTTTATTATGCTTGCACTGTCCTCATAAGCACTTCACATCATACTAGAATACATGATGCCACTAACAGTCACACAGACAAACACAGAGACCCATTCAAACCCATACAACAAAACTCACAGACACACTTACAGTTATGGCAAAAATACTCAGACCTGCTTCGAGTCATACAATACTATACACAGTTCAACTCACTAACACAAAGTGCAACACATAGATCCATGGACAGTCACACAGATGCTCTAACTGTTTGTGTGTAAAGCAGTTCCTTTTCAGGATTTAGTACAATTTTAACTTCCCCAGTTTAGTGAATAGCTCTGTATGGTGCATGAAGGTTTTTAGCAAGTAAGCATCTTTTTCTCTATTGCTATCATTGTTAATCTAAGCAGTATTTGCACATCATTATGCTTCAAGAATGCTACAAGAATGTGAGATGTTTATTTGAAATCCCTTGAACTACATAAGGGATGTATATAAAGAAATGAAAGAAATATGTTTTTAACCTGTGCTGGATAAGTAAGGAAAGTGACAATTGACACATGCAATCAATACATTAATGTTGACGAACGTTAGGATTTTTGGCGTGGGTTTTTGTAGATTGTTTTCCAAAATGTATTTAACTGAGTAAGCAAATTCACTAGCTATATGCCTATAGGCACTGAATTCTCATGCACCCGCCCCTCAACCCTCTCCTGATAAAAAAAACCACCCATAAAAACAGAACTTGACCTTTTAAAAAAAAAAAAAAAATATATATATATATATGATAAGAATTTTGTATATGCAAACACATGTGTGCGTGTGTAGCGTGTATGCATGTGTATTAGGTGTGTGTAAATGTCTGAGTGAGTGTCCTTCATGGGCGCTTAGAATACCTCATCTACTGAAAGTGCTATGGTCCAGAAGAACAAACCTGGGAAAGAGCCAAGGCCTTCAACATGAATTGTGTCACAACCCACTCAAAACGAAAGACACAAGAGAGTCGAGGGTGCTATAATTAAAGCACTTTCTTCAGGGCAACCCCAAGCACTCACACATAAGTTACGAAACAAAGGGCAGTATGATGGAGTGGCAGAAGCCACCCTATTTAACAACAGAACAAGTGAGCCTTCATTGCAAAGGATACTTGGCTATATTTACCACATTGCTTGGCTTTATGTTCCTGAACCTTGCTGCCTGGATATTTGAACCTTTGGACCTATTTTACCTTACTATTTTGCCTTTGTCTCCTAATTTATTCGCTTTTCTTTTTCTTCAATTAGTACAGCCTTTTGGGTTTTACATCACAACTTCCTGACAGAGTCTATTGCACATATAGTATCAAGAAATCAACTGTGTGGCAGTACAGCAGGTCACTGTCCAACAGGTGGTTTATTGATGTCACACTAAAAGACCCTTAGTAGTAGGCCTACCCATGTGGAATTCTCACAACATGATTCTATATTTCAGTTGGTTAGAGCACTTGTAACATCTCTACCCCATTCCAGTCAGACCAATTTACCAGCAAAGGTCCTCAGGAAGAAATCTAACAATATATATCTGCCTACCTCAAATGTATTTTATTTATTACTGGCATTTATAAAGCGCCAACAAATTCCGCAGCGCTGTACAATTGGGAAAAAGACAAACACAATAAGAACAGACCGATACAACAGGTAGAGGACCCTGCATGTGAGCTTACAATCTAAAGGTTATACTGGGGAGATGAGACAAGAGGTAGCACAGGGATTTGTATGTGATTCCAGAGAGAGTTAATAGTATAACTGCAGCAGCTGATAGCATGTGAAGGGAATGAGGAGATGATTAGTTGTGGTTCCAAACAGCTAGAAGAGCATGCTATAAGCGGCGCACAAACTGGACCAACAAGCACAGACCTACAGGACCCTGATAGCGACTAGAAAACAGTTGGCTATACGCACCACACACAACCGTACCACACAATTTCCGGAAGAAATTGCGAATGAATTTAAAAAGTTCTATACTAAACTGTACAATATAAACGAGGACGAAAGAGATCCCCCAAGGGCCGTGAAACAGAGAGACACGGCGGCATACCTGAGGAACTTCCAACCGAACGCCCTCACATCGGAAGAGGCAGAGGAACTTGAAGCTCCGATCACAGAAGGAGAAATCCGACTGGCACTGAAAGAAGCGAAAACAGGGAAAACACCGGGCCCGGACGGCTTCCCGGTGGAATATCTTAAGAAATTCGGACACACCCTCGTACCACATCTCATCAGAGCCCTGAACAGCCTAAGAGACAGCACAACCTTCCACAAAGAGACCCTGACTGCAACAATAGCGGTAATCCCGAAGCCGGGCAAGAATACCGAACAGGTAGGAAACTACTGCCCAATCTCACTCCTCAACGCCGACGTCAAGCTGTTCTCGAAGGTTCTGACTAAAAGACTACAAAGACATATGACTAGACTAATACACCCAGACCAGACGGGCTTTATAACTGGCCGAGAGGCCAGAGACAACACCCTAAGGCTCTTCGCCATACAACACCTATCAATGAAAATGGGAACGAAGCTACTACTGCTGTCGACGGACGCTGAAAAAGACTTCGACAGAGTAGATTGGCACTTCATGACGGAAGCACTACGTGCAACAGGTATCGGAAACGGCATGCTCACATGGATCACGGCACTATACAACCAACCAACTGCCAGGATTCGAGTAAATGGGGCACTCACGGATGACTTCCACATCAAGAATGGCACGAGGCAGGGTTGCCCACTATCAACCCTACTATTCGCCCTCACGCTGGAGCCGCTTCTAGACAGCATTAGGAAAAATGAAGGCATATTGGGCTTCAGACACGGAACGCATGAACACAAAGTGGCCGCATACGCTGACGACATGCTATTCTTTCTCGAGAACCCGCTTACCTCCGCCGCCCAGTTAATGTCGGAATTCGAAACATATGGACGCTTGTCTGGACTCAAATTGAACCTGACGAAATGCGAAATCTTAAACGTCACCGTCCTAGAGGAAGAATGCGCTCAGTTTAAACGGCTATACCCCTTTCACTGGTGCCCAAGCCGAATGAAATATCTTGGGCTGTGGGTCACACGCGAGGCCAAAGACATCTACGCCCAAAACCACATACCCCTCCTGCAGACCATTCTCGAAGACCTTAAAAGATGGCACTACCCCCACATTTCTTGGCTGGGGAGAATTGCAGTGATAAAAATGAATGTTTTACCGAGGCTACTCTACATATTTCACACAGCCCCACAGGTGATTCCGCAGGCATTTTTCAGGACACTCAAAACAGCAATCACACAATATATTTGGAGAGGGGAGAAGGCCCGCATTGGCTTTGACAAGCTCTGCTTACCAAGAAGCTGGGGAGGGTTAGCCTTGCCCGACATCAGAAAATACCACCAGGCTACAGTACTGCAGAGGCTCAAGGAACTCCACACGGACACACCCGACAGAAGGTGGGTTACGCTCTGGAGGGAATCCACCGAGAAAAGATTACACACACTGATTTGGCACAAAGAAGCAGACGCACACATAATACTGGGAGAAGACTCCCCACTTACACACACCCTGAGACACTGGAACAAGCTGTGGAAAGAACAGCAGATCTCACCCAAACCCAGCCCGCTGATACCGATCACGTACAACCCTAACCTGGGGGACAACCTCCCGCCAACGCTTGGCCGATGGAGCACCAAGATGGATACATACCTATCTACGCAACACTAAGCAACACGGGAGTGAAACCACTACGGGACATATTGGAAGAGAGACCGCACACATTACTGCACCAATTCCGTTACGCCCAACTAACCCACTACTACCACAATCTACCTCATAGAGCCAAAATACACAGGGACCTCAAGTGGTTCGAGAACCTATGCACTCAGACAACGGCGACTACAGGGAGGGTCTCCATGATATATCAAAGCATTCTGACAGGACATAGAACAGAAAACACCCTATACAAACGGCAGTGGGAGGATTGGGGAATCTTTTGCGGATACCCAGTGGGAAAAGATCTTAATCCTACAACACAAAAGTTCCATTAGCTCCCATTACCAGGAGGTGAAGTACAAGCTCCTTACACACTGGTATCGCACCCCCTCCCTGATAAATAGATTTGCACCAACCATCCCGAACATCTGCTGGAGATGCGGAGACAGCCCCGGTTCCCTGAAGCACATCTGGTGGGACTGCGATAAAATTAAACCGTACTGGGGGAACATTAAGCAGGAAATAGAACGCATCCTAGGAGACCCTGTGGACCTTACAATGGGAGCCACTCTCATACACCACACGGATAGACCCATACCCTCTTACAAAAAATCAATTCTGCGACACCTGCTAAACGTGGCGAAATCCCTAATCCCACTGCACTGGAGGGACGAACATATACCCACAGTGGAACAATGGAAGACTAAAGTCGAAGACATAAGAAGGGCAGAAGCCAAAATAGCTGAAACAATAGGCAAGGAGGAAAAACATACAGAGCTGTGGACACCCTGGATATTGTACATCTCTTAACACAAGACGCAGAAACAATACACCCAGCTGGGAGAGCCGGGACTGGCCCGGGACTGGGCCCAGACGCGACTCGGAATGAGGCAGATACCCACCCTCACTCTCCACATTCCCTACCTCCCCCCCCCACCCCCTATCTCCCCTCCCTATCCTCATACGGGGAAAGCCTTCACACACACATAATATGCAGGAACGTGGGCGACAAAGGAGACACTCACACCAGTGGCAGATATTACTCACGAGTAGAATAGAAAGGACAGATAATAAACATCGCAGACAAGGAGCACACAAAACAGCTATACACACAAGTAACACATGCTGAGCTACCACGGACACAACAACAAACACATTAAACGCCAGAAACAAGACAACGCAACTCTCTACACCCAAGTTAACACCTAGACACACGACTAATACGAAACTACAAAATGAAAATTAAAAACCTACGCACAATGACGTCACAGGACAAGGGAAAGAGATAAGTAGTAAGGAGACATGCCACAACCGTTCAGATACGCAGAAGGAACAGACAAAACATCTGATGACAGAACCGCAGACTCGCGACAAACAGAAAACTCGGGTCAATACGTACTAATCCTACTACACCCAGACGAGCCACAAACAATGACTGAATAATTCCGACACGTAAACAGCACTAGCGAGACTGAACGGAGCCCGGACAGTTTCCCACCCTAACGCCCACGATCAGACTAACGCCTGGGTACACAGTAACAATTGGTGCACTCAAAAACCATAGCTGTGACGCTAGAAATTACCAGGGACATGCGAGTCCGGCAATATTGTGGGCCTGCGAGCCCGAGAACGTTCCCACATGTCATGATAACTACACCAATGAATGGTGCTCGTATTGTTGCAGTATGTGATATGTCTCCTGGGACCTGCGAGTCCTATTTTTTTCTTGACTTTGATAACACAAATAAAACAAATTTACAAAAAAAAAAAAGAAGAGCATGCTATATAGTTAGAAGTAACCAGGGTGGGTAGAGCCAAATAAAATTACAAGGCCTTCATGCGGGGATGTATGATGACTTGGGGCTAAGGAAGAGAGCTACAACAGTTACTTAAAAGGCATTTACAGCTGGGAGTGGCAAGAGTGGGGAGGGGTTCAGGGGGAATGGAGCAGGCTAGCCATTTGCTATAAACAAATAAGTATTTGGCAACCAAATTTCTAAGAACCAGATTATTAAAGGGACACTATAGTCATCCAGACCACTTCAGAGAAACTGCTATGTTTACATTGCAGGGTTAATCCAGCCTCTAGTGGCTGTCTTCCTGACAGCCGCTAGAGGCGCTTCTGCAACGCTGGATGCGAACATTGAGAAATGCTTTCCTATGGACTGTTTAAATGCGCACACGGCTCCACTCGGGAGTGACGTTGGCGGGGGAGGAGAGGTCACTAGCGCCGAGGGAGCCCGGCGCTGGATTAAGGTAAGTAGCTGAAGTCGCTGGTGTCCTGAGGTTTCTGTGTGCCCTGTTTAGACAGTTCTTCAAGGTCCTCATTGTTGAGGCTCTCACCTGAAGCCTGGACTAAATGCTCAATGTCCTGAGCATCTGTGTCTCCTAGACCAGCCGTGGTCACAAGGTCCACTATCTCCGCTATGATGGGCTCTGGTAGTTGCACATCCTCACACAGCTCTGGCCAGATCTTTTTCTTTGAGGCACTGCTGTGTCACCTCCTTCCAGGAAGATGAATGTTGGAGACAGCCTTCATGATGTGGTACTGCTTCCAAAAGTCCAACATTGATTGCTTGTCCTCGCAGTCCATGTGTTCAATCAGCTGATGGAACAGGTGTTATGCTACTAGGGTTTTTAGAATTGGAACTCAACTGCAGCTTGTAGAAGTCCTTAATTACAATAATGAAGAAACTGAGAATCTTTAAATTATCAATACTGTAGCTTTAAGAAAAGAGAGGATTACTGGCAATTAGAGAATCAAACGAAGTTTTAATGATTGTGATAAACTAAGAAAAAATTGCTGGTTATAGCAAACAATACAAAGTTCATCAATAAGTATTTCCTCAGAGATGTATTGAATAATATTCTTTAGGTTGATAGGAATAATCTTCAATAGAAATAGTTTTAGGTTGATAGGAATAATCTTCAATAGAAATAGTATGCAGGTAGCAGAGAATATTTGCAAAGCAAGAAACAGTTCATAGTGGTTAAGCTTGATGGGAGTTATCCTCAATATAATTAGTGTGTATGCAGCAGAGAGGATTTGAGCAAGCAAGAAACAGTTCATTAATAACTGAGATTCCAGATAATAAATTGGAAGTTATACTTAATATTAATGTGAGTTGTCCTCCAAGAGATCAGTATTAGAGTCTACTTGTTAAATGGTAAAGTGTCCGTTCTCCAGTAATCCTCTAGCGGATGAAGCATAATCCTTTTATCTTCAAAGGTTTAGGAAGGCTTGTGCGAGAAACTTGTGGAGCCGGCGTCTATACCCAGAAGTAGGTCCCCCAATCACCAAGCGCTTTCTCTTTGGCGCGGTCTCCCTAAGTAGTGTCAGAGAGCCGCGTCAGAAGGGGGCGGGACCAGCTCCGCATAGCGGAATGCCGAACCCGGAAGAGATACCGCATGACAACGGGCACCGGAAATAGCAGGCCTAGAAGGTGGCAATCACCCCCTGGTCCATAGGCTGGATAAGCAACGTTGTGTTGGGCGGTAGGAATAGGATCTCCACAGCAATGCAGGTGGGCAGCTCAGCCAAGTTAGTCAGGTGGCTTGCTGCATTGTCCATGATAAGCAACGCTTTCTCCTCCAGTCCCTTGCGCCAACAATAACGCTGCACGGAAGGGCAGAAATGGTCAGTGAACCACTGTGTAGAAATATCCCTGGTGATCCATGCCTTCCTGTTTGCCTTCCAAACGACTGGTAAGCTGGACTTGCTAATGCCCCTCATTGCCCTCGGTGTCTGGGAGTGGTACACCAGCAATGGCTTTATAGGGAAGTCACCGCTGGCCTTCCCACCCACAAGAAGGGTCAGCCTTTTTTTTGCCACTTTAAAGCCCGGTACTCTCTTCTGCTCCCTGGAGATGAACGTGCGGCTTGGCATCCGCTTCCAGAAGAGCCTGGTCTCATTCACATTGAAGACAACCTCCGGTGGATAGCTCCCTCTATCCACCACATCCTTGAAAGAGGCTGGAAAGGCAGCAGCAGCTCCAGTGTCCACACTTGCCGCTTCACCGGTGATCTTAAGGTTGTAGAGGTTGTACCTTTTCTTAAATCTGTCAAACCAACCTCTACTTGCTGCAAAACTCTCCATCACATCTGGATCTTGACTCTGGAAGTGAGCGTAAATGCTCTTCGCTTTCTCCATCAAGATGGCCTGGCTGAGGGGCATGTTACGCTCCAGCTCATCATTTATCCATATGGAAAGCCTCTTCTCCATCTCCACAAGAGCGTAGGACCTGGAGCAGGTGATCTTCTTGGCTGAAGAAGCAGTGCTGGTCATCGCTGAAGTGCGGATCTTATCCTTGTTTTTGAGGATAGTGCGTATAGTGGAGATAAGCAAATGGAGATCTGCCCCGATATCCACCTGGCGCTCTCCTTTATCCAGGCGGTCCAGCACTTAAATCTTGAAACAACGGGAACAAAGAAATAAGGGGGGAAAAAATGTATTAGACGATTAATAATTAATAATAACATTATTAAAAACAAGGGAACGAAGAAAGTTACAGGAAACAAAGGGAACAAAGAAATAAGGGGGAAAAATGTATTAGACAATTAATAATTAATAATCACATTATTAAAAACAAGGGAACAAAGAAAGTATTCTGAACCTTGCCAATGGTTCTTCCAGGTTAGATTTTGCTGTCCCTTTCTCTCTTTCTGGCTCTCTCTGGTTCTTTCTCCCATGGTGCCCCTGTTAACGCTGTAAAGCTAACGCAGTCCCGCTCTTTATAGAGTTAAAGGGACTCTCCAGTGCCAGGAAAACAATCAGTTTTCCTGGCACTGCAGATCCCCTGTCCCTCCCACCACCCATCCCCGGTTACTTACCTGAGACCCCCGCTGATGTCCCTCAGTGGTGGTTTCGGGTCGCCGCCGCTCCTCCCCTTCATCACGTCAGCCAGCGGGGGAGACTGATCCCACCCGCTGGCTGAGGAGACCTAATGCACATGCGCGGCAATGCCGTGCATGCGCAGTAGAGCTCTCCATAGAAAAGCATTGAAAATGCTTTTCAATGCTTTCCTATGGGGAATTGAGCGACGCTGGAGGTCCTCACACAGCGTGAGGACGTCCAGCGATGCTCTAACACAAAAAACCTGTGCTATGAAGCAGGAAGTGCCCTCTAGGAGACAACCACTAGACGAGGCGTTAACCCTGCAAGGTAATTATTGCAATTTATGAAAACTGCAATAATTACAGTTGCAGGGTTGAGGGCAGAAGTGGTCTGGGTGCCTGGAGTGTTCCTATAAGCGGGTCCCGCAAGGAAAAAATAGAGCTATAGTGGGGTTTAGCACTCTGCAAGTACCAGTACGGTAACAGCGCTATAGCGAATCAGCGCTGTGCAGGATAGTGCTAAACGGGGAATCCCAGTATTTCCTTCTTCTGCTTAACCATGACCTATAGGCATCCGAGTGATTCCACTAGACTCAGGTTTCACTTGACGTGGCAACATATTCTGCTCTCACTAAAAATATTAATTTTTAAAATATTTTATGTGTATGATTATCAAAAAAAAAAAATTCACAGAAGAAAACAAATAAATCATAGTAATATTACAACAGTGCTCATCAACATTTTTTCACCGATGGCACACCAAAGCTCTTCCCAGAATTCCACAGCACATCACAAACAAATATATATGTAGAAAATATAGGAGTAATAAAGTGCATATACAGAAAAGTGTCACTATGCCCCACAGAACATGCAACAGTCAGTTTTCCCATTAAATATATACCACAGTCAGTTTGCACATTAAACATATGCCAAACCAGGTCCCCACTACAAAATACCAAAGATTGTCAATTAATAATTACCATAGCAGATTTGCCAATTAATAAATATTGCAGTCAGTTTGCCTATTAATAAGTACCACAGTAAGTTTGCCAATTAATAATAATCACAGTTACAAAACAATATAATAGTATTATAGTGAGACACACAAAAATAAAAAGTCCTCACCTGTGGAACGCATCGATCGCGATCGAGTTTTTCCACTAGTGAAGCACATCTGTGTATTCTCTAGTATAGATATATATATATACAATCTCTTATGCAGAATAATTGGCAACAGGAGAAAACTATTAACAACAAAGGAGACATATAAATATATAATGTATTTCAGGGGGCAAAAAAAAAAAATATGAAAAAAATATAAAAAACACTCTTTGGTATAAATATGCTATAATAAATGTATTATACAAAGGATGGTGAAAGATTAATAGAAATCTAAATATTATAAAGGAAGCAGTGGTGCAATAAAACACTTATTTTAAAAAATGTATAAAAAATTTGAAAAAAAATTATATAAAAAAAATAATAATAATTAATCTGAAGTATAAAATTGATATAGTCTCATATGAAGAATAAGTAAAAATCTAAATATTATAGAGGAAGCAATGATACAATTAGATACTTTAGAAAAAATGTGTAAAAAATTATTTAAAACATAAAATCAATATATTCTCATATGTTAAAAATGCAAACTTTGAAATCTGAATTTAATCCGTGAGGGATGAGAGTTTTAAAATTGTAAATAAAGCGCATATCCTCTTTACCCAATAATTTAATGTAATTTCCCCCTCTCCAGTCTTGTTTAACTTCCTTTATAGCACAAAAAAAATAAATTCTCTGGGTTTTGACTATGGGTCTCCTTAAAATGTAAAGACACACTGTGAGTTTCTAGTCCATTTCTAATATTACGGATGTGTTCGGCAATTCTGACCTTTAGGGGTCTAATGGTTCTCCCTACGTATATTAGGTCACATGGGCATTTTAAAATATATATAATGCCCTTAGTGTGACAAGTGAGATAATCTTTAATAATGTAAGGCTTATGGATAATGTCCTCTATATTTTCTAAATGTCGTTTGGTGCTTTTAGTAACTTTACAAGGGAGACACATGCCGCTCCCATAAATGCCTTTTAAATCTTGAATAAAGTGCTTTGGCTTCTTGGAGGTTAAGTGACTTTTTACTAAAATGTCTTTAAAATTCTTTGCTCCTCTATATGTGATTTTTGGTTTTGATGGTAGAATTTTATTTAAAATTGGGTCGTCCTGAAGTAAATGCCAATGTTTTTTTATGGTGTGTTGAATACGTTTATTTTGTCCATTAAAATTGCAAATAAAAGGAATTTTGTTGGTATCTATTAGTTTCTTCTTTTGTTCATGTTGGATAAGATTTTTTCTTTTTAGTTTTCCTACTTCATCTATATCTTGATTCAGAAGTGCTTCATTGTATCCCTTTTCCAAGAATTGATTTTTGATATGGTTGGCCTGTTTTAAATAATCCGTATCTAACTTGCAGTTTCGTCTAATTCTTATAAACTGACTTTTAGGAGCATTGTTAAGCCAAGGTTGATAGTGACAGCTACTTTTTTCAATGTAGCTGTTAGCGTCTATAGGTTTAAAGTGATTTTTAGTGATAATCCTAGAGTTTTGGATGTAGATGTCTAAATCTAAAAAATTAATATTAGAATTACTAAAAGTGCTGGTTAGATGGATTCCATAGTTGTTAATGTTTAAATATGTGATGAATTCTTGTAGGGCTTCCGTAGTTCCGTTCCATATAAAGAAGATATTGTCAATAAATCGAAGTAGGTGGTCAAATTTATTTTCCACTGATGTTCTATAAATACACACGTTTCTTCCCAAAAAGCCATAAAAAGATTGGCATAGCTTGGGGCAAATTTTGTGCCCATTGTATTACCACAAATGTATAAATAAAAAGAGTTTTCAAACTAAAAATAATTATGAGTTAAAATGAGTAAAATTCCTTCTAAAATATACTTAATCTGTTCTGTTTTAAAATCTGATTTTTCAAAAAAATATTTTTACCGCTGCCAATCCTTTATCATGAGGAATGATACTATACAGGGAAGTCACATCGCATGTGACCAATGTATTTCCCTGTGTCCATTCTATTTTTTCTAAAATTTGCATAACATGAATGGTGTCTTTAAGATAAGTGGGATTTTTGATAACTATTGGTTGGAGAATAGTGTTGATATATTCTGAGATTCTTGTAGAGATGGAATCGATACCAGAAATAATAGGTCTTCCTGGAGGGTTTTCTACATTTTTATGGATTTTTGGAAGAAGGTAGAAAACTGGTATTTTAGGGTTATCTATCCATAAGTAATCAGCTTCTTTATCAGTAAGAATCCCTATTTCTCTTCCTTTGTCTACATATTGTTTGAATATTTTAATGGTTTCATTTGTAGGGTTGTGGGATAATTTTTGGTAAGTTGAAGTGTCAGAGAGTATTCTCTCTGCTTCTTTCACGTATTGATCTTTACTTAAAATAACTATACCCCCCCCCCCCATCTGCCGGTTGTTTTCATCGTCTTTAATATTCTTTAAAGCCTTTTTTTCTTTTATTGTTAAATTTTGTTGATATTTATTAGTTTTTTTGAGTTTTTCTATATCTTTCATCACCATAGTTTCGAATGTTTTAATTTCATTAGAAATCAGGTGTCTAGGAAAGAATTGGGATTTCTCTTTCAATGGTGTATGGAAGTATTCATTGTTCTGTACTTCCGGTTGGTATTTATCCCTATTAAAGAAAAGAAATTTAAGACATAATTTTCTGATTAAAAGATTCATGTCTACGAAAAAATCAAAATGGTTGAAGTCCGCTGTAGGGGCGAACTTCAGGCCTTTTTTGAAGACTATAATTTGTTCAGAGGTTAAGGATTGATTGGATAAATTAAATATGCCTTCTAAATTGAGGTTTTGCCCCTCTTCTCTCTGTGTTGATTTCTTCTTTCCTCTCTGTCTCCTTCTTCTTCTATTGATCGTTGTCTTTGTCTTTGTCATGTCTACAAAAATCAGATTTTAAAACAGAACAGATTAAGTATATTTTAGAAGGAATTTTACTCATTTTAACTCATAATTATTTTTGGTTTGAAAACTCTTTTTATTTACAAATTTGTGGTAATGCCATGGGCACAAAATTTGCCCCAAGCTATGCCAATCTTTTTATGGCATTTTGGGAAGAAACGTGTGTATTTATAGAACATCAGTGGAAAATAAATTTGACGACCTACTGTCGATTTATTGACGATATCTTCTTTATATGGAACGGAACTACGGAAGCCCTACAAGAATTCATCACATATTTAAACATTAACAACTATGGAATCCATCTAACCAGCACTTTTAGTAATTCTAATATTAATTTTTTAGATTTAGACATCTACATCCAAAACTCTAGGATTATCACTAAAAATCACTTTAAACCTATAGACGCTAACAGCTACATTGAAAAAAGTAGCTGCCACAATCAA